TTTTATTTTTATTTTTTTTATTTTTATTTTTTATTGATTAATTTTTGTTACAGATGTTTCTCCTTTTCCCCCCACTGATTCCCCCCTCCCCCTCCCTCCCTGCCCCTTCCCAGATTGTTGTCCATGTCCACTGTTCATGCATACATGCATATAAGTTCTGTGGTTCATCCCTCCCCCACCTCCCCCCTCCTTAGGGGATTGTCAGTCTGTACCCCGCTTCCGCGTCTCTGGGACTACCCCATTCCTCAAACTGTTATGTTCATTATATTCCACAAATAAGTGAGATCATATGAAACGTGTCTTTCTCTGTTTGGCTTGTTTCACTTAGGATGATACTTTCAAGGTCCCTCCATGTAGTCTCAAAGGATAAGAGATCTTTCTTTTTTACCGCTGCGTAGTACTCCATTGTGTATATGTACCACAGCTTTTTGATCCATTCGTCTACTGATGGACACTTGGGCTATTTCCAGATCTTAGAGATTGTAAATAGTACTGCTACAAAGATGGGGGTACATATATTCTTTCTGATTGGTGTTTTATGCTTCTTAGGGCCTATTCCTAGAAGTGGGATCACTGGGTCAAATGGAAGATCAATTTTTAATTTTTTGAGGTGACACCATATTGTTTTCCATAGTGGCTGCACCAGTCTGCATTCCCACCAGCAGTGCACTAGAGTCTCCTTTTCTCCACACCCTCGCCAACACTTGTTGTTTGATGATTTTTGATGGCGGCCATTCTGACAGGTGTGAGGTGATACCTCATTGTTGTTTTGATTTACATCTCTCTGATGATTAGTGATGATGAGCATTTCTTCATATGTTTTTTAGCCATTTGTATGTCCTGTTTGGAGAGGTGTCTATTTAGTTCCTCTGCCCATTTTTTTAATTGGATTCTTTGTCTTCCTTTTGTTGAGTTGTATGAGCACTCTATATGTATTGGAAATTAACCCCTTATCTGATATATCATTGGCAATTATGCTCTCCCAGACAGTGGGTAGCCTTTCCATTTTGATGATTGTATCTTTCACTGTGCAGAAGCTTTTGAGTTTGATGTAGTCCCATGTGTTCATTTTCTCCTTTGTTTCTATTGCCTTAGGTGATGTGTCAGTAAAAATTCTGCTGCGTATAATGTCTGAAATTTTGTTGCCCACAGTCTCTTCTAGGATTTTTATGGATTCATGAGTTACATTTAAGTCTTTTATTCATTTTGAGTTTATTCTGGTGTAGGGTGTAAATTGATGGTCAAGTTTCATTTTCTGCAAGTAGCTGTCCAATTTTCCCAGCACCACTTATTAAAGAGGCTGTCCTTACTCCACTGTATGCTTTTGCCACCTTTGTCAAATATTAATTGAGCATATTGCCTTGGGTCCATTTCTGGGTTCTCTATTCTGTTCCACTGGTCTATATACCTGTTCTTGTGCCACTACCAGGCTGTTTGGATTATAGTGGCTTTGTAGTATAACCTGAAATCTGGTATTGTGATCCCTCCAACTTTGTTCTTCCTTTTCAAGATTTCTGTGGCTATTCGAGGCCTTTTTTGGTTCCATATGAACTTTTGAAGTAATTGTTCTAATTCTGTGAAGTATGCCGTTGGTATTTTGATCGGGATTGCATTGAATCTATAGATTGCTTTGGGTAATATGGACATTTTAATGATGTTAATTCTTCCAATCCATGAACAGGGTATGTGCTTCCACTTTTTTATATCTTCCTCTATTTCTTTTTTCAATGACCTGTAGTTTTCTGTGAATAGGTCCTTTATTTCTTTGGTTAAGTTTATTCCTAGGTATCTTAATTTTTTGCCGCAATGGTAAATGGGATTGTTTTCTTAGTTTCTCTTTCTGTGAGTTCATCATTGGTGTATAAGTATGCCATAGATTTCTTGACATTAATTTTGTATCCTGCTTCTTTGCCAAATTCATTTATTAAGTCTAGTAAACTTTTGGTGGAATCTTTGGGGTTTTCTATGTACAGTATCATGTCATCTGCAAATAATGACCATTTCACTTCCTCCTTTCCAATTTGGATCCCTTTTATTTTTTCTTCCTGTCTGATTGCTGTGGCTAAGACTTCCAGTACTATGTTAAATAGGAGTGGGGAAAATGGGCATCCTTGCCTTGTTCCTGTTCTTAAGGGAAATGCTTTTAGTTTTTGCCCATTGAGTATGATGTTGGCTGTAGGTCTTTCATAGATGGCCTTTATTATGTCTAGATATGATCCCTCTATTCCCACACTGCCCAGCGTTTTTATCAGAAATGGATGCTGGATTTTGTTGAAGGCTTTTTCAGCATCTATTGATATTATCATGTGGTTTTTATTCTTCATTTTATTTATGTGGTATATCATATTTTTTGATTTGCGAATATTGTACCAGCCTTACATCCCTGGGATGAATTCCACTTGGTCATGGTGGATGAGGCTGACTGTTTTGTCTGACAATTCTGGGCCTCCTAGAAAGTACTTAGGTGCTAGCCATTTTCAGCTCTAAGCAATCTCTTCAAAGCTTTAAGTTATCCATAGTCTGTGTCTGTTCCCATAGAACTTGGCCGCGTGCAGGAGGGGCAACCTGCACTCTAAGGCTGGATTGTTAGCACCACCAGGCCACGGGATGGTTCAGAAAACTTCCCCTGGTCCCTGGGCTCAGCCTCCACCTGCATTCCCATGCCAGCCATCTGTCAATATTAATCACTGAAAAGTCTATTTTTCAAATGGCTTTAGGTGGAATTAAGAATATAAGACCTCTGGGTTTCACATGAGTGTGAGGGGCCATCCACATTTTAGGGAAAGTGGTGGTGTGTTTTCCCATTCCAGAGCTATTCTCTGAGAGTGACCCAGAATATTTCCCTGTCCTCAGTTGGGCAGAGATCCTTGTATCTCTGTTGTCCAGTGGAATCAGCTGGAAATTGGGAATTTCTATCAGCTCTCCCGTGATGGAGAAGCACCAGTCAAGTTGCCAGGACAGTGGGGCAGAGGGACCCACCCCCAAACCAGTCACTGACACTCCATGAGATAGTTCAAACCAATTGGCCTCTACTGCTGTCTCCTCTGAAGAGGTTGAGATACAGGGTGTGGCAGGCAGGGTTCCTGAGGGTAGGATGAGCTGTATCCCCAAGAGCGGGTGTTTTCCTTTTCCTGAGCTGTGGGTTCTGGGAGGGGCCAGAGCCTCTCAGGAATAATGGCCACTTTGGTTTGAGGGAGGTATGACTAGATTCAGGTCACCAGGCTGCCCTCCCAGCTGCTGCCTTTCCACATCTCCCTGCACTGCTTCCCACCCAGCCTCTCCTCAGGCACCTCCAGTCTACACTGTTCTCCCTCCACTGAAGCCTGGGGTGAGTAGCTGCAAATGAAATCCTTGCTCTGGATTTTTGTTTTGTTAAAAAAACTGTGAGTTTATCTCCCACTGGCTCCAGTGTGCTTGGTGGCCAGAAGCCCTGCCACCTTTCACTCCTAGATGTTATGTGGGCTGCTGTTCTCAGCTCTGGCTCCAGCCTGGGGAGCCCAGCCTGGGGTCCAAGCCTCCATCCTCCCTCTCAAGACATCACCCTTCCTCCCAGTCTTCAGGTGGTTTCTGCCCTTCCTTGCTATAATATAAATGTCCTCCTTGGCTATACCTTAGTTGGTGATTCTGAGTGAATGTTTTCCAATTTAGTTTTTTTTAAATTATTTTTATTAATTTGTTTTTGTTACAGATGTTTCTCCTTTTTCCCCCATTGACACCCTCCTCCCCATCCCCCCACCCCTTCCCAGCTTTGTTGTCTATGTCCATTGATTATGCATACATGCATATAAGTTCTGTGGTTTCTCTCCCCCCCACCCCCCCAACATCCCCTCTTCTGGGGTTTGTCAGTCTCTACCCTACCTCTATGTCTCTGGGTCAATTTTGTTTATCAGTTTGTTTAGTTCATTATATTCCACAAATAAGTGAGATCATGTGATATTTGCCTTTCTCTGCTTGGCTTGTTTCGCTTAGCATAATACTCTCCAGGTGCCTTCGTGTCGTCTCAAATGATAAGAGATCTTTCTTTCTTACAACTGCATAGTATTCCATTGTGTACATGTACCATGAGGATACTTTCCCATTTATCTTCAGATAGACTGGGAGGGAGGGGGAGAGAAAGATTGAGAGAGAGAGAGAGAGAGAGAAACATGGGTGTGAGAAGGACACCCTCATTGGTTGCCTTCCACAAGACCCCCAACCTTCCACAAGACCCCCAACCAGGTTTGGACCAAACTGCAACTGAGGTACATGCCCTTAACTGGAATCGAGCTGAGACTCTTTGGTTTATGGGCAGATGCTCTAACCGTTAAGCCAAACTGGCCAAGGCCTCAACTTAGGTTTATTTCCAGTCTGGCCCTGGGAGGAAGTGCAAGAAAGGTCTGCCTATTCGGCCACCTTCTTCTCTCCTCTTGTAATTCTTTTTCTTTTTTTAATCCTCACCTGAGGATACTTTTGCATTTATCTTGAGATAGAATGGGAGGGAGGGAGAGAGAGAGAGAGAGAGAAACATTGACACGAGAGAGACACATCAACTGGCTGCCACCCACACTACCCCAACCTTGGTTGGGGACAAACTGCAACTGAGGTATGTGCCCTTAGCGGGAACTGAACCAGATCTCTCTGGTCTGCGGGCTGACGCTCTAACTGCTGAGCCAAACCAGCCAGGGCCTGTAATTAGTTCTTAACTGGTGAATAGCTTGGTAGTGTTAGAGTCCTAAGAGAGCTGGTTGCCTCTGCCAATGTCTGTAGTCCCCAGCAGCAGTGAGTCAAGAATAATACACACAAGCACATACTTGCTTGTCCATGAGCGTGGTTAGGAAGAACTGGTGGAACTTCAGAGCAGTGAGGCAGCATCAGCTAGTTGTGACTTGAAATTTTCTGAACAAGCACTTTCAGGGTATAAGAAAATCAATGCCAAATGACCTCTGAATATTTCTGACAGTATTTTTACACCATGTACTACCATAAACATGGTTCATGAACTAACTTATTTTCTTTTCTAGGAAGAACTGGAACTATGGTTTGTGCCTGCCTTATTACCTGTGAAATATTTTTAACTGCAGAGGTATAAAAGCTGTTACTACAAACTTTGTTTTATGCTGGTTGAATTTGCTAGTTCTGAAATGTCACTGGTAGGATAAGATGATTGTTTGAGCTGTGGTATTAAATGAAATTGTAATTGGAGAGGCTGTTATTAGGAAGCATGGTTTTAACACTTCCTTGTTTCACTTGAGTTAGTCACAACTGACCTAGATACCTCTTACCTGGCCGGGACTAGGGTGAGGTCAGTGAAACACTTGCCTCAGGCACAAATGTAAGAGAATGCCAAAATACTCATAGTTAAGATAAATAATATTCAAATGCAGTATTTTTAAAAATCAAAATTAATGCAACCAAGTCCATGATATATACAATATCAACATTTTAAATAAAGACAGGACCCAATAGGGGTGAGATTAAGGTGAAGTAAGGTTGAGTTACGCAAGTGCAAAAAAGCTTAGCAATCAAGATGCTTCACCTGTCTCACCGAGTCTGGTCATGCTGTAACTCTAATTATGGGACTTCCTTTCTCACAAGAAAAATATCAAGATTGATTAAGGAAGTTCACTAAAGGACTTTGATCCTTAGAAGTGCTGGGTAGATAAAAGGTGGTGTTTTCTAACTCAGAACAAAGTCTCTCCTGAGTGTTATTTTTGCATAGTCACTATCTGTGGGGTCTGTGCCCTCTGGAATTTCTGAGAAGACGGGGTGGGCTGGTTCTACTCAGTCAGGGTTCTCAGTCTTTTTTTCTGCCATGATATCGCTGAGAAGTTACCATTTAGAAGACACACTCCCAGTAGCTCTGCTCCTCATCTGGCCTACGGTGGAGTGAAGAGAAGGTGTGGGTCGTGCACAATGCACAATGTTCTAATTCCACCACTTCCTTTTCTAATTTGAGGCACACAGCTTATAAAAAGGAATGTACTAGGACAGTGATTTTCAACCGGTGCGCCACTGCACATTGGGGTGCTGCAAGAATTTTTAAAACATGCAATACCTATTTAGTCAGGGGCACTGACCTCTTTTCCCTTAGACAGTCAAATAAAAAAATGACAACAGCCACACAACAATAGTTGTTCGGTGTGATTGAATCAAAAGTATACCTATTTTTTGTGAGAATTTTGGTAATTAGTTAATGTGCCATGAGATAGAAAAGGTTGAAAGTTGTTGTTCAAGGACAGTGCTTTTCAAACTATGCATCATGATCTATTGGTGAGTTATAAAATCAATGTATTGAGTTATGACTTATATTTTTTGATAAAATGGAATCAATTAGGAAATATCCAAAGGTAAGAATTGTTTTATGAATTTTGTTTTGGTTTTGTGTATGTGTATGTGTTTATGTATGTGCATGTGTATATGTATGTGTATGTGTATGCATCTCCTAGGTTTATTAATGTGGATTGTAGTTTGGTTTTTTGTTTTTTTTTCAATCCTCACCCAAGGATATTTTTCATTGCTTTTTAGATAGAGTGGAAGGGAAAGAGGGAGAGAGAGAAAAAAACATCGATGTGAGAGAGATACATTAATTAGTTGCCTCCCACACAACCCTTACTGGGGTGAGAGATCAAACCTGCAATCCTGATACATGCGTTGACCAGGAATAGAACCCACAACCCTTCAGTCTTCAAGCTGATGCTCCAGCTGCTGAGCCAAACTGGCCAGAGCTTTTGAATAAAAAACTGTAGCTTTTAAAATAAAAAAATTGGAAGCCATTGACCAGAGCCTTATAGTGAGAGCCAGAGACCTGTGCTCCAGGCCTGTGTGTTGTCAACTGGCTACGTACGTCTCCAGTCTCCATGACAGGTCACTTGCCTTTCTTTTGGTCTCAATCTTCTCCATTTGTAAAATGGAAAGATAGGAAGACAGACCAGATGATCTCTAAGGTCTTCCTAATTCTAAAATTCCACATTTTTATGAATATCTGAATGAGAACGGGTGTTGATGTGGCTTTGTTAATTTTGTTATTTTGAGTAGCCTCTGCCCAGAGACAGCTGCTTTAGGGAAAGATGTGCCTGTAGAAACATAAGAATGCCTTATACAGGAGAGGAAAGTGCAGATGAGCCATGACTGGACTGTCCCCATTTCCATAGGACAGCCTTTATTATTTTGGAGAACGACGAACAGATAAAACCAACAGCACTAAGTTTCAGGGAGTAGAAACTCCTTCTCAGGTAAGTTTTTTTTTTGTTTTTTGTTTTTTTTTAAAGGGAGTCCTCTGGGGAATTGGGTTCTTTGGTTTCAGTTTAGACTTCTTCAGGCAGCGGCACTTGGGTGCCAGGCCTTGATCCCTCCTGGAGGGAGGTTTTGCAGGCATTGAGTTCTCCCAGAGCATACTGCTTCCCATTTTATATTGGCTATTGTTTGCAGAATTCAGGAGTTGATTCCCTTCCCAAAGAAGGAAGGTTAAACCCCTAAGGTCCCAGACTGCTAACGACCACTTAAAATCAGTGGCCATTTATTTCCCATAGAGAGAAACTGCTTTCACAATCCCCCACTAGGGTAATTCAAGCCTTGCAGAATAGCATGTGGGGTGGGGGGGAGCAGTATGTATAAGACAGACAGACACACACTTAGAGAGAGATAGCGTGGAGGCTGTATTTTGAATGAGAAAGAAAAAGGGAAATAAACATTTTTTTATAACCTATTATATAACAGACACTATTACACATTATTTTATTGAACTTTTACATGTATACCTCATTTAATATTCAAATAACCCATGTGAAATATATGCTATTACCCAATTTTTTCCTTTTAAAAATGTTTTATTGTGGAAAATTTAAAACATAAAAAATTGAGACAATCATAAAATAAATTTCCTTATCACATCACTTCAACATCACTTGATCACGTGGCCAGTCATGTTTCAGCTATTTCTCTCCACTTAAACACACACACACACACACACACACACACTCTCAACTCTTTCTCTGAACTGGGATTATTTTGAAGGAAATCCCAGCCACCAGATTATTTTATCCCACAAGTATGTTAGTATGATATATAAAGACTCTTTAAAAAATCCTTTAAACCATTTATCATATCAAAAATATGATAATAATTTCTTAATAACATCAAAAGTCTAGTTTGTCTTTACATTTCCATAATTATCTTAAAATCTTTTTAAAATTTAGTTTGTTTCCATCAGGATCCAAATAAGGGCCATATGTTTCATTTGGTTGCTATGTCTCTTAAGTCTCTTGTAGTTTATAGGTTTTCTACCTCTTTTTGTTCCTTGTACAGATTTGTTTTTTGCAGAAACTAGGACATTTATCCAATAGAGTGTACAACATTTGAGACTTTATTGAACCAGCCAGAGGCTTTACATTCATTATTTCATTTAGTATTCTCAGTGCCTGTGAGTGCCATTGTGATTCCCATTGTGCAGCTGGGAACTTGAGGTTCAGGGAAATTAATTTTCTAAACCAAGAATGCAAATCCAGATCTGTCAGACTCTGAAGACTGTTATTTCCCATCCTGTGCCCAGCTTCTTCTCTATATTGCCCCTCAGACCAAAGTGAGAGCTGGTTGTGAATTCTTAAGTAGAATGGATACGGCTGTGAATTCAAGTTTTGGGGGGCAAAGTGATTTGAGCTGAGCTGATACTTTGGCCTTATTATCAGAACACTGTAACTGCTCATTCCAGATGCTTAGTTTGGGGCAAAAGAACTGTCTTATTTCCTGAAACTTCTCTGCCATACCCAAGCAAAAAAAAAAAAAAAAGCTATAGACTATAGTAAAAGTAAAACATGAACTTACTGAAGCCCAGTTCAGCCTGAATCATGCCATTTCCATGGTCAAAATCCATAATGGCTTCTGACTGCAACAAATATAAATGTGTTAGCCTGGCACTCAAGATCTATGATTTAATTTTCCAACCATTTCCTCCACTGTGTGCATCCACATGCCCACACTTGGGCTTCCTGGGCTGCATGTTGTTCCTCAGCCTGGCAGCACTGTACACCCCCAGGCCAGTGCTCACAAGGGCCCCTCTCCTGGGCCCCTTTCTGAAGAAGTCTCCTGCTCTTTCAGTTCTTCTAGCTCTTTGTGCTTCTTTTAGGGACTACTTTATATTATTCCCTAGCTACTGCAATGGTGAATTCTCTACCCTTGTTGTAGGCAAAGCCCATATCTCACCCATCTTTCCACCGAGGCATCCCAAAGTGCCTAATATAGTATCCCCTGTTTGCAGCTGGGGCTTACTACTAGTATGTGTTGGTTTTATTAACTCCTGCTGCAGGCCTCTGTTGTTTCAGGGGGTAGGAGAAGAAATAGTGACAGTGAGGCAGCTTGAGGGCCATGCTTGGTTAGAGCCTTAAGTGGAAGGTAGAGATCTGGAAGCAGGAGCAAAGGGGGTGTCAGACATCACTCCTTCAAGGACTCTCCTTGTACTTCTTCCCTTCCCCATTTCTTCTGCGATTGTGCAGTTTCTCTAACTTTGGTCCAGAACTGGCACACCCTAGCTAATGGAAACTCTTCTGATGCACTGGGACAGCAATGCAGGGCCTCGGCCTCAGGTTTGAGAGCCAGGCCCAGGACAGAGTTCCCTCTGCGTGGGGTGGTAATTCTCAGATCCATCACATTCTGACCCTGCACTGCTGGCTGTTCTGTATGGACTACATTTCATCCACCCTGAGTTAAGAACTTGCACAAGCCTTTTTCTTCACTGGCCCATCCTGATAGGAAGCACGGCAGTTTGTTTTATTAACACTTCCCGATGGGTGGGGAAGAGTACTTTTTGGTCCAGTTGATTCAGTACCAGAACTGTTCAAGAAGAATGAGCAGCTTGCCACAGGAGAAGTACTAGGCTAAGAGGATCCCCAGGGCCTCCTTGCAAAAACAAAATTGGAAAATTTAAAAGTATAGAAACTCTAGCTGGCAGAGATGAGAGAAAATGTATCGACCACTGGCCTGTGAAGGTCGTCCTCTTGAGTTTTTACAGCTGCCCTCTCTCATGCCGAAGAGATTATTCACCACCAAACCACAACCTTTCCTTTAAGCTTCTGCCCTCACATAGATTGGTTCCCATTTGCCTCACGGTCAGAGTCCACAATGCTCCTTAATTGCTTCCTGCTGTGATGTCGCTGCGTTGCTGGCTCTGGTTAGCTGCCCTTTCAATCATAGGACCCGTCAGCAGCACTTGGCTCCTTTCCTGTTACCTCCCCACAGGTATTCAGACATGAGGCAACATCCATAAAAATGCATAGTTATATAATGGTACCCAATAAATGTTTCCTTAATTAATTACTCTCCTTAAGTTCTATGTTAAAAAAAAAAAAAAAAAGAATCAGATATGCTGACTTTAAACTTTTTATCTCCACTTAAATTGAGACTCTGTGGTTTGTTTTCCAGAATAGATATGTTGGGTATTTTGCAGATGTGAAAAACGTCTATAACATGACTCTACCTCCAAAAAAACTACTTATGATTAAAAAATTTGTTATTTATTCGATTCATGGTAAGTGCTTTAAATATTATGGGCAATGTTCTTACTATTTGGGAGGATTTTGCTCCAACTCAGAGCTGACTTGTTGTGTATCCTCACACGTTACCCTCTCCTCCTGGACTGGCCATCAGCCCAGTGGTGCTACGCCATACAACCAACCCTTAGGTGCCTTCTCTTCCCCTTTCCCATCACCATTTTGGGGTTCCCCATTCCCTTCCCTGTTTTCTGTTCTCACTGATGTCTGGGGTGGACTTTTCAGAGTAGAACTTCTGATGCAGAAGAGAGAAGGGCCCGAGTCAGAGACCACGTCTCCCTCGCACGGGCTGCAGTTCCCGTTTACCTTGGCGAAGGCATCCTATGTGATCCTTTCACCTGCTCCTTTCAGAGACCCAGTCTCCTTCTCACCCGGCCTCTCTCCCTCCTCCACCCGTGGCTCTCTCACCTGCAGCAATCTATCAAGATGTCTTAAATACCCAAACTGCACACGGATTTTTTTTGCCACAGATTCTTTTTACAAATAACTACCAAGTACTTGCTTTGGGCCAGGGCCCATGCTAGTGTTCCCTTGCCTTGTAGGAGTCCCTGGTGGTAGCAGAGGAGAGAAATGAGTAGGCAGATAAAGAGCTGACCATAGTGTTGGGGGCACATAAGCTGTGCCCTGTCCAGTCTGGGGAGTCAAGAAAAGCTTTCTGGGTTCAGCTCTGAATCTGCAGGAACACAGAAAGGGTAGTGGGAAACTGGGTTCTGTGGGGTGACTTTCAGCCCCTAGCTATTACCAATTATTATTACCAGGAATGAAAATCCTAGTGAACCTCAAAAGAGTTGACTAGATCCCCTGTCACCCAAGAAAGCAGGAAAATAAGTCCCATCTCTGGGACTTAAGGAAGAAAAGAACAGGGGTGGATAGAGGAGCTGGCCTCAAGCCCCATCTCTCTAATTCTCTGCCACCCACCTTGCTTCCCCCCACAGCTCACCTTTAGGGGAACTGGGAAAGCAGGACATGTAGGTGTGGAAGGGGTGTTGTTAGGGTTGCACCTCATTCTGCCCTGCAGAGGTGCAGCAGGGACCAAGGCTTCTAGTTCCTTAAAGCAGCAGCCAGACTGCGGCCCATAAGGAGGGTGGAGTGCAGGGCCTCTTTCACGTGAGGTGGTGGCAGGGCATTGGCACCCACCCAGGCGGCCTCGTGTTTAGCCTTCTGAGGAGCCACACAAAATAAGGATCTAAACATATAGTTTTTAACATTTCATTCCATTATTCAGAAATAAAAGAATATATATATATATATATATATATATATATATATATATATAATCTGCATAGACAGAAACTAAATTAAAATTATTAGTTAAAATATGAAATACTTTTTCAGTTATTTACATACCCCTCACCCCCCAACACACACACACCCATATCACAATCATTTCTAGTTGGAAGTGAGGAATTTCCGTAGATTACCACAAGCAGATTACATAGTTTTCTGACTTCTGAAAACAACTTCGACCCAGTAGCATTACCTGTGTGGGAAATTTTGGTCTAGATTTCCAAATAAGCATTGTTCAGGCAGACCTGTGAGACGGCCAGTTCTGGCAGGATGCTGCCTGTGTGTACATGAGCATCTGTTGGTAAAAAGGCTTCACGGACAGCATTCCTCCACAAAAGATCATCATGACTGGGTCATGGGATGTGGGGAATTATGAGGGCCAGGGCTGTAGGGGAGCCCAGTGGAACTACAACTCTTGCCTGCCCTCCCCAGGGTAGAGCCAGGCTTGTCCAGCAGGTAGTAGAAAGCAGGAGACAGCAGTCCCTTGCTCCCCTTCCTCTCCACACCCAGTGGCACCCTGGAAATAGAGCCAGACTGCTTCATTCTGCAGTGAATAAGGCAATGCAGTGGTCTGTTGGAGCACTTTCTTTCACTCAGAAATTTAAACCCAAGTATAAAACCAACTGGGTGGCATGAGAACCTGTATTGTACCTGAATTTATACTCTGCCTCACTTTCCTCTTTGTTAACCATGGGGGTAACAGTATCTACACAAAGCTCTGTGAGCATTAAACTATTCTGAACTGGCAAAGCAGTATTCAGTCTAATGGAGTTTTAATGCATTTCTTTCATATGAACAATGAGAATAGGAAAAGTTTCTCAAAATTCTGAGCTTAATAATGTTTTTAATAAGTTCTAGAATTTCATATGTTGTTTCAATCTGATATTATATCCTAAGACTGTAATGTCTCTCTTAATATTTTGAATTTTATTTAAACTCTGGGAAGACCTTATTCAATTAAAATGGAAGGCACACACCTGGAGAACAGTGGAACCATAGGTAGTGCAGGTGAAAACTGTTGGAGAGTTTTACAAGTTTGTTTCCCACTCTCAGGCTAACATAAAATAGAGTATTTTAAAAGTCCCATTTGAGATCCCTTGTGAAGACTTCCAGAGAGCAAACTGTAACCTTAGCACTGTTCAGTACAATTGGCTCTAGGCTTGCAGGGCCAACTTACCAAGGCCTACATGTTAAGTTAAAATTCTTGCTATGCCCAATTAAGTAATCAGGTCAAGCTTAATGACCTCAGGCCTTCTTTTGGAATAAGAATAATCTTTTGCAATTGTTATGATCACAACAGAAAGAGGATGGGGAGAACAAAGTGTGAAAGACTATGAAATGGGCCATAGCTAGTACACCTCTCATGATCTTTGAGCTATTTTACAACTGTAAGTTGTAAAAAAACTCACAATAATGCACATAATTTTTATACATATAAATGCAAATTAACTGTGTCCAGTGGGATATAATTGATTATTGACCACTTTGTATCTATTTATAAATTCATTTCATCCTTCCTTATTTGCCTATAAATGTGCTGTATTTGAACTATAACATTTTGCTGTTTCCTTATTAATGAATGAGTTAAATAATTTTTGACATGTTTAAAAAATGCAGGGTACAGGACAGTTCTATGGTATGCAACAATTTCTATAAAACAAAAGGAAATAAATATGTGTTCACATTTTAGTGTATATGCATTTGTAAAACCTGTGGGAGAATATATATTTGTATTTCATTAGATAAGCATAAAACAAGATACTAATAATAGTGGTTATCTATTTGGGGGTGGAGAATTAAATAGGTGTGGGATGGATGAGACACTTTTCACTTCATGTTTGTTTTTTTACCTTTAATTTTTAAACCGTATAATTATTTAAAATGTTTTAAATGTGTTGGAATTAATTTAAGCTTGTAAATCAATGCCCTTTTCTTATCATGTCATAAGTATTTGATTTAGTTTAATTCTGTATTTCACTGATTTTTGGTAGACATAATTAGATAGTTTTGCAACTGGAATGGTACTGAGGGAACTAAGGCAAAGACACCATGATTCCTAATGACAAGTTAATAATATGGTGTTAGTGGAAACAAAATTAAATGAAAATAAAGCAAACATAATATGAGGTGAATAATCAAGAATAATCTATATATGACTTTATTAGAATATTTGTTTAGTTTTATACATTTGGTTGTGTGCATATTCAAGTGAAATATGCAGGGTTGAGAGGAAAGCAATAAAAAATTTTTGGAGGCTTGAGAAACTAGCCCTTTGAGGAAAGGCTAAAGGAAGTAGATCATTTGAATGGAAAAATGGGACAAAAAACGATTTGTCTGTAAATTTATACTGAACACCACAGGAATGTTTGGGTATCCTATATTTTCACAGAAACTGCTCTCTAGGAACTAGGGAAAGAGGAATTTAGATTCTTACTAAGAAAATAATGATCTGAAGTTTGAAGAAAGCAACACATTAGTAAGAATGGTGGCAAGTCACTTACTCTGATTTCTTTTTTCCAAAAAGGCAAAGCTTAGAAGCTGAACTATAGGTCCATTTTCTCTTTCCTCCAGCCTTATAAAGTTGGCTTTAGGAGACAGAATTGGCTTGAAGCCTTGTCTTTCAAAGACAAAATTCATGCACCCAAATGATTCAATATTGCTACATTGTAACCTGGGACTTCCTTTCTTTTTAATTCATAATGTTAATCGTTGAGACATTTTGATCTTTACTCTAACTTTTTGTTTTCATTCAGGTGTTGGAAAAGGCAACGGAAATGATCTAAAAGTACAAATAATAATGGATCAAAAGATTGTCTTTTTTTGTTCTGCTTCCAAAAACTGTAGGGTAAGAGAAAGCATGTGAATGGGAAGAGCACCACTTTAAATCTCAATATCAAATCAGCATGTTGACCTCCCAAAACCCTGGCTCCCCACAAAGAGAGGCCATGTTGTTTTCTGGTTATTATCCAACTTGGTGCCCCTGGGTCTGAATGCAAGTCAGAGGTGAATTAAATTCATTGTTCAAAGTAGTTTTTTCAGAATATATTTTTAGCTCAGAGAGGTTCTTTGGTTTTCACCTTTCTACAACACCAAGCATGTCCCATGGATCTATCAGAGTTTTAAATTCATGTGTCTGGTCACTTTGGCCATATCGTTTTCTTCTTAGTCATTCTTATTATATGGTGCTGATTCTGGAATTTTAGTGTTTGTGACAGTCATCAAGGAGCTTGTAAAGATGCAGATTCCTACGTTATACCCTAAAGTATGATTGAGTAAATCTAAAATGAGACCCAAGAATCTCTAGACTTAGCAATGTCTCAGGTGATTCTAACTCAGATGTCCTGTGGGACTACACTATGAAAAAAATATATTGTGAAAGACCCAAAGCAATGGGTTCTGGTAGTCAATATTTGTTTTTTTTTGTTTTGGGGTGTTTTACAGTGAACTTGATTGATGGTGCATGACAAGGTAGGGCTCCCTAAGCTCCTCCTCTTATTCAGGGGGTCTGGGATGGAACCTGTGGAGGTTCAGGAGACTCTCAGTGTGTTGGGGGATTGATTTGGGGCGAGGACTCCCCAGTGGCTCAGGGCCTCTCTTCCTCTCACTGCTACTGGTAGTCTAGAGGCTCTTACTCCTTGGAGGCCATGTGGACAATAAAGTTTACCATCCTGTTGCTGTATCCAAATTCATTGTCATACCAGGAAATGAGCTTGACAAAGTGCTCATTGAGGGCAATGCCAGCCCCAGCATCAAAGGTGGAGGAGTGGTTGTCACTGTTAAAATCTCAGGAGACAACCTGGTCCTTGGTAGAGCCCAGAATGCCCTTGTAGGGGCTCTGATGCCTGCATCACTACCTTCTAATATCATTGTACTTGGCAGCTTTCTCCAGGTGGCAGGTCAGATCAATGTTTTCTTAAATGTTGAAGAAATACCTAAGACTACAGACCTTTTCTGAAGCAACAAGAAAGCTATCTTCATTAATCTAAGAAATATAAATTTTTAAAATACAGGCTTGTCTCTAGTTCTCCTATGATCTCTCCCATACCATTATTTTCCCTTCTTTTTTTTTTTTTAAATAATTTTTTTTATTAATTTATTTTTGTTACAGATGTTTCTCCTTTTTTTCCTCATTGACACCCTCCTCCCCATCTCCCCACCCCATACCCGGCTTTGTTGTCCGTGTCCATCAGTTATGCGTGCATGCAGATAAGTTCTGTAGTTTATCTCTTCCTTTCCCCCAATACGCCCTCTCCTGAAGGTTGTCAGTCTGTACCCTACTTCCACGTCTCTGGGTCTACCCAATTTTTCAGACTGTTATGTATATCATATTCCACAAATAAGTGAGATCATGTGATATCTGTCTTTCTTTGCTTGGCTTGTATTACTTAGGATAATATTTTCCAGATGCCTCTATGTCATCTCAAAGGATAAGAGATCTTTTTTCTTACAGCTGCATAGTACTCCATTGTATATATGTACCACAGCTTTTTTATCCATCCGTCTACTGATGAACACTTGGGCTGTTTCCATATCTTAGCTATTGTAAATAGTGCTGCTATGAACATGGGGGTACATATATTCTTTCCGATTGGTGTTTCAGGCTTCTTAGGGTATATTCCTAGAAGTGGGATCACTGGATCAAATGGCAATTCAATTTTTAATTTATTGAGGTAACACCATATTGTTTTCCATAGTGGCTGCACCAGTCTGCATTCCCACCAGCAGTGTACTAGAGTCCCCTTTTCTCCACACCCTCTCCAACACTTGTTGTTTAATGATTTGTTGATGGTGGCCATTCTGACAGGTGTGAGGTGATACCTCATTGTTGTTTTAATTTGCATCTCTCTGACAATTAGTGACATTGAGCATTTCTTCATATGTTTTTTAGCCCTTTGTATGTCCTGTTTGGAGAGGTATCTACTTAGCTCCTCTGCCCATTTTTTAATTGGGTTCTTTGTCTTCCTTTTGTGAGTTGTATGAGTACTCTACATATTTTGGATATTAACCCCTTATCTGATATATCATTGGCAATTATGCTCTCCCATACAGTGGGTTGCCTTTCCATTTTGGTGGTTCTTTCTTTTGCTGTGCAGAAGCTTTTGAGATTAATGTAGTCCCATGTGTTCATTTTTTCCTTTGGTTTTGTTGCCTTAGGTGATGTATCTGTGAAAATTCTGCTACGTATGCTGTTCGAAATTTTGTTGCATACATTTTCTTCTAGGATTTTCATGGATTCACAGGTCACACTTAAGTCTTTTATCCATTTTAAGTTTATTCTTGTGTATGGTTGATGGTCTCGTTTCATTCTTTTGCATGTAGCTGTCCAGTTTTCTCAACACCATTTATTAAAAAGGCTGTCTTTACTCCATTGGATGCTCTTGCCTCCTTTGTCAAATATTAATTGAGTATAATGTCTTGGGTCCATTTCTGGGTTTCCTGTTCTGTTTCACTGTTCTTGTGCCAGTACCAGGCTGTTTGGATTACAGTAGCTTTGTAGTATAATATGATATCTGATACTGTGGTCCCATGTACTTTGTCCTTCTTTCTCAAGATTGCTGTGGCTATTCGGGGTCTTTGTTGGTTCCGTATACACTTTTTTTTTTTCCAGTTTCATTCATTTACTCTTTAATTTGGATCATCATCATTTAGATCATTTTTTTTATCTTTATTGTTGAATGTATTACAGATGTTACTCATTTTTCCCCATTGACCCCCTCCTTCCCACTCACACCCCCCTCCCGCCTTTTCAAACACTGTTGTCTGTGTCCATTGGTCATGCATACAAGTTCTTTGGTTTATTTCTTCCCAGCCCCGAACCCCTTTTCCTTTGAGGTTTGTCAGTCTAGCAACGAATTTGTACTTCTTAATCCCTTCACCTTTTTCACCCACTCCCCCAACCCCTCTCCCATCTGGCAACCAAGAAAATGTTCTCTGTATCTATGAGAATATTTCTGTTCTGCCTGTTCATTTCAATTGTCGATAGATATGTATTCATTGCCATTTTTTTCTTGTTCATATATTTTATCTTTTTCTTCAAAAAGACCCTTCAACATTTTATATAATAATGGTTTGGTGTTGATGAACTCTTTTAACTTTTTCTTGTCTGGGAAACTCCTTATATGGCCATCAATTCTAAATGAAAGCTTTACAAGATAGAGTAATCTTGGTTGTAGGTTCTTGCTTTTCATCACTCTGAATATTTCTTGCCACTTCCTTCTGGCTTGCAAAGTTTCTTTTGAGAAATCAGCTGACAGTCTTATGGGAAGTCCCTTGTAGGTAACTAACTGCTTTTCTCTTGCTGCTTTTAAGATTCTCTGTTTGTCTTGAGCCTTTTGCATTTTGATGATAATGTGTCTTGGTGTGGGCCTCTTGGGGTTCATCTTGTTTGGGACTCTCTGTGCTTCCTGGACTTGTATGTCTGTTTCATTCACCAAGGTAGGGAAGTTTTCTGTCACTGTTGTTTCAAATAGGTTTTTGATTTCTTGTTCTCTCTCTTCTCCTTCTGGCACCCCCAAGATGCGAATGTTGGCATGCTTGAAGTTGTCCTAGAGGTTCCTTACACTATCCTCATTGTTTTGGATTTTTTTTTTTTGCTGTTCTGATTGGGTGTTTTTTTGCTTCCTTATGTTCCAAATCAATGATTTGCTTCTTTGCTTTACCTACTCTACTATTGAATCTGTGTAAATTATTCTTTATTTCAGTTAGTGCCTCCTTCATTTCTGACTGTGCATCCTTCATTTCTGACGGTCCTTTTTTATGCTCTTGAGGCCCTCACTAAGTTCGCTGAGTTCTCACTAAGTTCATCGAGCATCTTTATAAGCAGTATTTTGAACTCAGCATCTGTTAGGTTGCTCACCTCCATTTCGCTTAGTTCTTTCCCTGAGGTTTTGTTCTGTTCTTTCATTTGGGACCTGTTTCTTTGTCTCCTCATTTTGGCTGCCTCTCTGTATTTGTTTCTGTGTATTACTTAACAAGAGATATGGGGCTAGCTGAGACCAGATGCTGCTTGTTTGAAAGAATTTAGGAAAACCTAAAGCAGGATCCAAGACAGGCCAATCCTATGGTTAAGCAACTGGCAACAGCTTGGGTGGGCCTGAAAGTTGGGTGGGGCAGGGCCTCAGGGAACCACCAGGGTGGGGCAACCAGCGTGAGCCAGGTTGCTGGAGTCCCAGATATGGCGGCTGTCTGCCGCCCCAGGGAAGGGCTCACCAAAGGAACAAAGGCCTCTGTCATGGAGAAAGCCCCCTCTCCGGCCCTCGCTCCAATGCCAAACAGTTCAGTTTTTTCCTGTATGTCTCTGGTTCCCCTCAAGCTATCTCCCCTCCAAGCTTAGAGGGAGTGAGCCTGATAAATTCATGCGCAGGCCCTTTAAGGTGCTGCCTGGGGCTCCAGCCACCTCAGCCTCCCTGAGTCTCAGTTCCCGCTGGTTTTTCCAATGAGAATTTATGGGGACTTCTCTTCCTGGCACTGCAACCCTGAGCAGGGCACCTGGTATGGGACGGGGACCCCTCAGTCCTCAGGGAGGACCTCCCAGCCAAGGTATCTTCCTGATTTTTATCCACCACATGTGTGTGTGTGGGACCAGACCCTCAGCCTCTGCCCCTCCTACCAGTCTCGATGTGGCTGCTCCTTTAATTCCATAGTTGTAGGACTTCCATTCAACTCAATTTCGGGTGGTTTTGAATGATGGTTGTTCTGTAGTTTAGTTGTAACTTTGATGTGGTTGCGGGAGGATGTGATACCGCATTTACCTATGCCACCATCTTGACCAGAAGTCCAGTTCCATATAAACTTTTGAAGTATTTGTTCTAGTTCTGTGAAATATGTCGTTGGTATTTTGATGGG